ACACCCCCTCCCCCTCCGCCCCCACCCCTAAATCGTTGTACAAATAGCTAAACATTTCCCTATGTTGTTAATAACTTTTTGACAATTTGACGAAAAAAAAGAATTGTTTACACAATGTTCAGTATACTTTTGTTTTTTTTTAGTTCCTGGATGCAATTTGGCATACCTTATTTGTATCACTGTAAAAATTCTGGAGGTATAGCCTTCCATATATCCTTGGTTTGCTTTCATAGGTCATGTACTCATGTCATGGTCATGTCATGGACGGACTTGGATACTTTAAGCTGCGCTTTTAGTTGATTTCGCAAATTTTCGACGAGATTCATATCGCGGATTGTGGAGGTCATTTCAAAATAGCAAATTTTTGCTATAGGCAACGGTCCGGTTTTCGTGCAATCCGGCAAAATGCTACCACTCTCGCTGATGTATTTTGATCAAAATGAATTTTTCTTCTTTTATTATGCCTTTGCGTTCAATTTGACTATTCTTCGCCTCGCTGTCTACTGATTTTCATTCAATTTTAATACCTTAAGCGCTTCTGTAATAGTGGCTGCAGCGCAACTTGCTACTAATTTCACAAGATATCGGACCGTAATATTTTTTGGCAGACTTCCTTTGTCTTTAATAACATTTTAGGCTATATTTTTTCTCAGTCTTAACATTTTCACTATTCCTACGGTCCCGCGTTTCCGCAGTAAATATATTACTTACATTTATGTTTCCTGATTAACCATATTATTTACTGGTAATCACTTCTTGAATAAATTACAATACAGAAAAAAGTCATCTGACTTCCAACTAATGAAAAAATAACTGTAAAATGCAAAACTGAGAGTGAGTGCAAAACTGTAACATTTGCCTTAATTTAAATTTTTGCCTGCTGGTTTTATTATTGTTGTTGGATTCACTTCAAATCTTTGTGAGAGAGGGAGAAGAGGCAAAGAACGTAGATAACAAGAAGGGACAACTCGTCATAATTGTAGCAAAAGTGCGCAAAAATAAATGTCTAGATAACCTGAAACCACAACCAACTACTTTTTAACACTGCGAAAATTCATAATATGACTTTGATGGTACTTTGTGAACCCGCGTAATATATTTTTAGGTGTTCAAAGTTAACGTCATACAACAATACGACAGTTACGATACCGTTGGGAAGACCCCAAGTAACATTTAGCTCTTTTTAGCTATTTTTTTAGACCGTTTTAGTACAAACGAAATAATTCTCTGGCAACACTACAAGAGAGTACCCTTTCCGGTTGAAAAGCAACACTTGTACTATACGGTGTTCGCATGGGCGATTTTACAGGCAACTTTTAGTTGAAAGCAAAAATCTGCTGGTGTGAACGGCCTTTCAACTAATCGCTTCCAATCAAGGTGTATTAAACAAGGTGTGATTGACAACTCGACTGAGATTTCCTTTATGGAACCACTAGCTATATCATTCAAAGTATACGGAATTTTTTTTATAAAACTCGGTAGGATATTAATATATTAATGGAGGTCTTCTTTACCTGAATTTATCACTTTAACTATGTTTCTGCTAATAGTATTTAAAGGCTGGTTTTCATTAGGTCCAAATCACTGACATCAAAAGCTGTCTTCATCTGACAGCTGTTCATTTGGTGTTAAATGCGTTTTCATTACATTTTAAAAACTGCGAACAACGATAAATAGGCAGAATGTTCGAGGAATGACGTAGAATGTTCCACAAAGAGAAACGTCAAGTTGGATAAACACTGCGAACAGCGAGAGAAAGAGAATGGGCGCGCTCATAAGTCGTAGCTGTTGGGTAACCGTTGGCACAAAAACGCACAGTTGAGTAATTACGCTCAGCCCAACAGTTGGCAACTTTCCGCCATTTTTTCCAGCGGAAAAATTTTACGCTACCTGAACTCAACGTGTTGGGCTTAACCTAAACAGCTGATCGAAAAGACTTACGCCGCTTATATTAAATTTAACGCCGCTTTGTTAGGTGGCAGTTGCAAACAAATTTATTATGTTTTATATAACTGACGTGATAAAGTAACTAAAATATTTTATAATAATACTACGTTTCTAAATATATGGTTTCTGTTTAATTCATTGTAACATTGAACGATTTTTTCAACACGGCGGCCGCTCAGCGTTGAATTCTAAATAGTATCGGTGCAACTATCTTTATTTGTTGCAATTTCCTTTGTTTNGTGGTCAAAAGCGTTTGTGCTTACTTTTGTTTTTAAATACTCTTCAAAACTGTGATAAAACTGAGGAAATGGAGCAAGGTATGGTTCCAACGGGGAGCATATAGGATCAAATGTGTCCGCGCTAATAACCACTAGGGAGCATAGATGCGAAAGTAAAACATTGAGTTCATTAAAAATCTTCATTGGGTCTGCATTATTGCTTTCGAACAACTTGTTTACTTTTTGCACCTGAAAATTAGGCAAATAGTAAAATTGGCTAAAAACGGCTAACTTTTTTTTATAAACCGGCTAACAAATCGGTTGCCGGCTAGATCGAATTTTCTCCGGCTAGTTGCTATCAAAACCGGCTAAATCTAGCCGGAAAACGGCTAAAATGGCAACGCTGGCCATGAGTGCGAGCGCAGGTATATAAGAGCCACGGCACAGTGGAATTAGAGTTAGTTACAAGTCAGCAAGCTACAAGTCACAGTATATACAGTAATAAACCTTTTCGCAGTTTTTCACCATTTGTCCCCGAGGACAGAGAACGTATAGTTATGAGAAGATGCAAATCGTAAATCTGCTCTTCTTCATTATTTTCTGAAACGTTTCAACCATGGGTCGTAACAGAGAAATGCTAAATTTCATGTTACTGTGCTGCAAAGTCTGCAAACCTGCAAACTGAATGTTTATCATCTGTTAACCAAACCAGCAAGCATATGAAAACAAAAACTTGTAATTACAATTAAAATAAATAAATTATTGGATATGCATTGAATGTGTTTTTTTTTCAGTAATTGCTCTACTTATTTAAAACATTATGAATTGTACGTTGGTGCCCAATCCTCATTTCGTAAAATGGTGATTGTGATCGATTCAGATTTGCCGTCGGCATTTCAGAGGCGCTTTGGGTAAAAAAAATCGAGTTTACTTTTTTACCGATTCGCATGGTAGATGCTACACTATTTTCAATGCAACAAACCACAGCTTTCTAGCTGCCTTAGTTTTTTCACAAATTAATTTTAAATATGGACACATTGACTAAAAAGTGTACAAATGCAATGCGCTTGTTAACTAACTTCAAAGTTGTTTTTCTCGAAAAGTTATTTTTGAGTTTTATGAACATTTATTTTGACAAAAAATGTGTTGCATGATCATTTTTCAC